CCTGATTTCACCTTGGCCCAGTCTTGGCTGTTGCGGGCACTTGGGGAATGAACTAGCAAATGTCTCTCTCTCTCTTTTTTTTTTTTTTTTTGACAGGCAGAGTGAACAGTGTGAGAGACAGAGAGAAAGGTCTTCCTTTGCCATTGGTTCACCCTCCAATGGCCGCCGCGGCCGGCGCACCGCGCTGATCCGAAGGCAGGAGCCAGGAGCCAGGTGCTTTTCCTGGTCTCCCATGGGGTGCAGGGCCCAAGCACCTGGGCCATCCTCCACTGCACTCCCTAGGCACAGCAGAGAGCTGGCCTGGAAGAAGGGCAACCGGGACAGAATCCGGCGCCCCGACCGGGACTAGAACCTGGTGTGCCGGCGCCGCTAGGCGGAGGATTAGCCTAGTGAGCCGCGGCGCCGGCCCCAAATGTCTATCTCACCCTGCCACTCTACCTTTCAAATAATCTTGGGGGGGGTGGGGGTGGGAAATAGCTCCCAGAAGTTACAAAACACAGTGGTCTATTTCATTTGTGCAAAGAAAAACAGCACATTGAAGTACAATAGGTCCTCTTTATCTATGGATATGGGTTAATCTAACCACGGGTTGAAAATAGGAGAAAAAAAATCCCACCTATACTAAACACACTTCTTTTCTCTGATCATCATTCCCCAAATATACCATAACTATTTATAAAGCACTTACACTATATTAGGTATTATAAGCCATTTAGAAACTAAAGTACAAGGCCGGCGCCGCAGCTCACTAGGCTAATCCTCCGCCTTGCGGCGCCGGCACACCGGGTTCTAGTCCCAGTTGGGGCGCCGGATTCTGTCCCGGTTGCCCCTCTTCCAGGCCAGCTCTCTGCTGTGGCACGGGAGTGCAGTGGAGGATGGCCCAGGTGCTTGGGCCCTGCACCCCATGGGAGACCAGGAAAAGCACTGGCTCCTGGCTCCTGCCATCGGATCAGCGCGGTGGCCACTGGAGGGTGAACCAACGGCAAAGGAAGACCTTTCTCTCTGTCTCTCTCTCTCACTGTCCACTCTGCCTGTCAAAAAAAAAAAATAAATAAATAAATAAAAAAAATAAAAAAAAAGAAACTAAAGTACATAGGAAGAAGTATGTAGGTTATATGCAAATATTATGCCATTTTACTTAAGGAATTTGACTATTAGATTTTGGTATGTTTGAATGTCACAAAACCAATCCTTCACAGGTACCAATGACAACCATGCATAGAAACTCTGGAGGCTGGTGCCGCGGCTCACTTGGCTAATCCTCTACCTGCGGCGCCGGCACCCCAGGTTCTAGTCCCGGTTGGGGTGCCGGATTCCTTCCCAGTTGCTCCTCTTCCAGTCTAGCTCTCTGCTGTGGCCCAGGAAGGCAGTGGAGGATGGCCCAAGTGCTTGGCCCCTGGCACCCGCACAGGAGACCAGGAGGAAGCACCTGGCTCCTGGCTTCAGATTGGCGCAGTGCAGCAGGCGTAGTGGCCAATTTGGGGGTAAACCAATGGAAAGCAAGACTTTTCTGTCTCTCTAAATCTGCCTGTCGGGGAAAAAAAAAAAAAGAGCAGCAGCAGCTCTGGAAGGAGAAATAGGTTCCAGAAAATGAACTGAAATGAAAATTTAGTAAGCTTCATTGTTATATTACCAGATTTAACAATATAAGGGGCCAGTGCTGTGGTATAGTGGGTAAAGCTTCCGCCTGCTGTACCAGCATCCCATGTGGGTGCCAGTTTCAGTCCCAGCTACTCCACCTCCAATTTAGCTCTCTGCTATGGCCTGGGAAAGCAGTGGAAGATGTCCCAAGACCTTGGGCCCCTTCACCAGCATGGGAGACCCGGACACTCTTGTCTTCAGATTGGCGCAGCTCCAGCCATTGCAGCCATCTAAGGATTGAACCAGCAGATGGAAGACCCCTCTCTTCCTCTAAAATACATAAATCAATATTCTTAGGTAATGGTTTTCAAATTTGGTTGCTCTTAAGAATCACCTGGCGGGGCTCGTGCTGTGGCACGAGCAGGTTAGGCCACCACCTGCAGCACTGGCATTCCATATAGGTGCCAGTTTGAGTTCCAGCTGCTCCATTTCCAATCTAGCTCCCTGCTACTGCACCTGTGAAAGCAGTGGAAGCTGGCCCAGGTGTTTGGGCTCCTGAACCCAAGTGGGAAACCCTGAAGAAGCTCCTGCCTGGCTCCTGGCTTTGGATCAGCCCAATTCCGGCTGTTTCGGCCATTTGGAGTGAACCAGCAAATGGAAGAAATCTAACTCTGCCTTTTTTTTTTTTTTTTTAAGATTTATTTTTATTTATTTAAAAGACAGACTTAGAGAGAGAGACAGAGACAGAGAAAGGTCTTCCATCTGCTTGTTCACTCTCCAAATGGCCAACCATGCCCGGAGCTGAGCTGATCTGAAGCAAGGAGTCAGGAGCTTCTTCCAGTCTCCCACATGGGTGCAGGGGCCCAAGGACTTACACCGTCCTCCACTGCTTTCCCAGGCACATTTAGCAGGGAGCTGGACTGGAAGTGCAGCAACTGGGGTTCGAACCTGCAGCCATACAGAATGCCTGCGCTGCACGCCAGGGCTTTTAATACGCTGTGCCACAGCACTGGCCTGTGACTTTCAAAAAAATAAAAATATCACCTCACAACTTCAAAAAATTCTAGAACCTGGAATTCCCCAGAACACTAGCATGACTCAAGAGGCCTGGGGATGAGCTTCTGGTTATCACTGTGGTTTTTAAGATTGAGAGGCAGGGGCCGACGCCATGGCACACTAGGTTAATCCTCCACCTGCAGTGCTGGAACCCCATAGGGGCGCTGGTTCTAGTCCTGGTTGCTCCTCTTCCAGTCCAGCTCTCTACTGTGGCCTGGGAAGGAAGTGGAGGATGGCCCTAGTGCTTGGCCCCTGGCACCCACATGGGAGACCAGGAAGAAGCACCTGGCTCCTGACTTCAGAGCAGCCATTTTGGGGGTGAACCAATGGAAGGAAGACCTTTCTCTGTCTATAACTCTGTCAAATGAATAAATAAAAAAAAAAAAAAGATTGAGAGGCAGAGGGCTTTGCACCCACATGGGAAGCCAGGAGAAAACTGGCTCTGGCTTTGGATGGGGGGTGGGGGTGGGACGCTCCGGCCATTGCAGCCAATTGGGGAGTGAACCAGTAGATGTAGGACCTCTCTCTGACTCTCAAATAAATCTTTAATAAAAAAAAAAGACTGAAAGGCACACAGAGGTTCCTATTCCCTGTTCATTCCCCAAATGCCAACTGCTAGGGCTAGTATATGACAAAGCTGGGAGCCAATTACTCATACCATCACTGATGCCTGCCAAGGTCTATACTGGCAGGAAGCTGAAGTACTGAAGCAGCTGGAGCTGGGAATGGAACCCACCCACTCAGGTGGAATGCAGGCGTGATCATCGCTAGGCCAAATGCCCAACCCTCATTAGCATGTTTTATTTATTTTTTGACAGGCAGAGTGGACAGTGAGAGAAAGGTCTTCCTTTGCTGTTGGTTCACCCTCCAATGGCTGCTGCAGCCGGCGCACCGTGCTGATCTGAAGCCAGGAGCCAGGTGCTTCCTCCTGGTTTCCCATGTGGGTGCAGAGCCCAAGGACTTGGCTATCCTCCACTGCCTTCCGGGAACACAGCAGAGAGCTGGACAGGAAGAGGAACAACTGGGACAGAATCCAGTGCCCTGACCGGGACTAGAACCCAGTGTGCCAGCACCGCAGGCAGAGGATTAGCCTATTGAGCCATGGCCCTCATTAGTGTTTTTAAGTTCCCCAGATGACACTAATTTTTGTCGCTCCCCCTCTTCGTGGAGGAACGACACTAAGCCCTGCGCTGTTCTTTCGTCTGCTCGGCCCTCCCCGGGTTTGCTGCTGGTTCTTCCCGGGTTGGCTACTGTCCCTTCCACCTCCGTGGAAGGGCAGTTCCCCCTGGCCACATTCCCCACTTCCGCAGGGGAGCGGCACACCGCCGGCCGGCTCTCTCGGGGGCTGCACAGGTGTTCCCCTTAGATGTTCCTCGTGCATGCCATCTCTCTCCTCCTTTATAGTCCTCCTCCGCCAATCCCAACTCGGCTGCCCACACGCCGAGTACGCTGCTCTCCTCCAATCAGGAGCAAGTCCTACAGTTTATTGGCTGAACTGGAGGCAGCTGTGTAGAAGCTGTTTTCTTCTCTCCCAGCGCCATATTGTGGGAGAGCAGATGCACAGAATAAGTCTTAATTCCAGTAACTTAGTCTAGTCTGAGTTGCTCCCCACAATTTTCAGTTGGTACTATGAACCATTGATTTGGATTAGGAGGTGGCAAACTCTTTGTGAACGGTCATTTATTAAGTATTTTAGGCTTTGTGGACCATTCCTAAAACCTACTACATATCCTGTTTGGTTTTTTAAAAAGATTTATTTGAAAGTCAGAGTTACACAGAGGAGAGGAGAGGCAGAGGTCTTCCATCTGCTGGTTCACTCCCCAGTTGGCCACAATGGCAGGAGTTGCACCGATCCGAAGCCAGGAACCCAGGAGCTTCTTCCAGGTCTCCCACATGGGTGCAGGGGCCTAAGGATTCGGGCCATCTTCTACTGCTTTCCTAGGTCACAGGACCTAGGACCGAAAGTGGAGCAACCAGGCCTCGAGCTGGTGCCCATATGGGATGCTGGCACTACAGGCTGCTGCTTTACCTACTACGCCACAGTGCAGGCCCTGTATTCCCCCCCCCCCCCAAAGGGGACTTTTAGAAGGAAAATACCAGAGTATTCTACAGATAATACAAAACCAATCAGAAGATGGATTTGGCCCACAGGTTACCCTGCCAGTCCTCAATTTATAGACTAGATATAGCCTGGAAAAGGCACCATGATTCAAATGTGGCCAAAAAAAGTCAGGAAGCTACTGGTAAGAAATCCTAAGGTAAACTCACAGGTCCAGACTCCGGCCCTCTAGAGACCTAGTATCGAATTCTGGCTTGGGTAGGAGAAGGGAGGGGTTTAGACTTACAATAATAAAACTCCAAGACACATTATAAATCAGCCAGTTTATTATTTTGCAGTAGATGTAGAACTTTTACCATGCAGACTGAAATACCCATGTCAGGATGAACAGTGCATTTTCTTCTGAGAGGCGGCTACATAGAAAACCAGGTTGTTACCAGGTTATTTATTGAATGTGGAATCCAAACATGGAAGGCTAGTCTTAAGACCTGCACCTCTTTCACAAAAGCTTATCCCACCACAGGGACAGTCCAGCCTCTAGGAAGCTCCCTCCTCTTCTTGCTCTGACTGAACACTGTCAATGGCTACCTCCTACAGCCTTACCGTCAGCCAGCATGGCCTAGCACTTTGTTCACTGGGTTTTTTAAACCAGGGACTTAGGGGGCAAAACAATTGTTCCCATGAACCCACTGGGGTCATCCTGTTCGGATGCTCTCCGCAAGCGCAGTCCCGAAGTTTCAACAGGCTTTGTAAAGGTTCCTTCCACCTCCATTAGCACATACACAGGTTACCTATAAATTCACCTAAAGTAACCTACTTCCTACAGTGGATTGGGGTTTTTGATTATAGTTCTTTTTTTCATTTACTTGATTAGTGATTTCCAGTCATGTAGGAATTAATGAAACCAATATTGTGTGTCACATAGCTACCCAACAGAAATATAAATATCAATAAACGATATGTACGTTTAAGATTATTTTGTTCTCAATAATGTAAAAAAGAAAAGATGGCAGTTCTCAACTTTGTTCTCAGAACTGGTAGGGGTCAAGTCACCGAAAATTCAAAGTAGAAAGATTTGCTTTCAAATTTAAAACCAAAACATGTACTGTGTTGCCAACATTATATAATATAAAACCACACTCATAAAATAAAACTCAGATTAACTTATGTCATTCATACCAGAATAGAATTTTGCCTATTAACAAAAACAGTAAATTGTATCCTAAGATGTAGGTAGGTCCATGCTGGCTGAGAATTTCAGGCCCCGACCCAACAAATGAGGATGAACTACATAGTGCATGCTTAACAGGCATGTACACATGTTAATCATTCTTCAGTGCCTACAATGGGGCTTTGAGGGAAGGACGGATGAAATGTGAGCATACTCATAGGCAGAACTCTTCCCCAACTATAAAAATTCACACGTGACAATCTACTGTATCTTGGGTAATAGCTAAGATTTTATCTGTAGGAACCCACCTCTGAAAATCACAACAATAGTCATTAGGAAATGATTTAATATAAAATATACAAATTTCTCAGTGTGAGGACTTTCACAAAACAGGAAGAATGGGGGTGACAACTAAAACAGACTTTTAAAAAATAATGTTCCCCTTACCTCTTCCCTGCTACCCAACACTCAAAAAAATCTGTACAAAACTAGAACACAGAAAAAGACCACAGAAGATGTTATGTTGCAGTCCGAACTTCTGTCCTCACCAAGACCCTCCCCTAATTGAGCTGAGGGTCCCCAGGTCCACTGAAAGTGGGAGGTCTCTGATCATCACCCCTGCATCACCAAGGTCACTCGCTGTCAAACTTAACAGAGTTCACCTGGACCGAGATGGAGCCTCCTCGGTAGCTACCGCGCTTCTTCTTCGTCTTCTCGTGCCGGAAGGATTTGCCTTTGGTGAACTTTAGAACTTGATTGGCTCGTTCCCCCCAGTCCCCAGCTGCACCACGCTGGTGAAGCAGAGAAATACTTAACACACAGAAGGACAGCACCAGTGCCCCACCGTGCTCTTCTTTCTACTCTTTCATGGAAACTTAGTGTCTCCCACCAACCTGAATTGAAAGTTGCCCGTTCTTCTACTCCTCAACCCCCAAGAACAGCAAACATCCCTCACCTTGGCATCGAAGGAGTTGTCTGCCACTCGGGAATCCACTTCAATTTCTTCCTCCCGGACTCTTCGGAATGGGGATGATGCCCTTTTTTCTCCCTAATGAAGAATCAAGTTGGAAATTAAAGATGGGGTGGCCATCTAAAGCCCTCTGGAATAACACACCACGTGGTGCCAGGCCAGGCCAAGCTTTCAAGATGATCTCAATTTCTTTCTACTTTTAAAGGGCTGACTTTCTGAGAAGAAAATGAGATAACTCACCTTCTTCCTTTTAGGAAATGTGTTGGGGGTCTGCACCTTAATCTTCTTGGCTTGAGGAGTCCCTGCCTCACTGGCAGCCTCATTCTGCTTCCGCTTCTTTCCTGAACATACAAACAGAAAACCCCACAATCAGGAGACCAGTTTCCAGTTCCTTCTTCCATCCCACAGAGGATCTGCAAATAGAAGCCGCAGTGGGGTGGAGGGGGCCTCCTCTCCCTACAGTATCCTCCCAGTTATCCTCATCCTGGTTTTGAAGGACAAAACCCAGAGGGCAGGGTCTTCAGACACAGACCTGGCTTAGAAACTGCCACTGCCACTGCTGCCTTTTCTTCCTCTTCCTCTTCACTGTCCTTGCCTGCTTTCCCATTCTGGGCAGCAGTCAGGGCAGAGGTACCATTGGCCTTGGGAACTTGTGGTTTCGGAGTGCCCTTGCCCTTGTGCTTCTCTTCTTCCTCCTCACTGGAATCATCCGAGGAAGAACTGCTGCTGCTCTCGGCCTTCACTTGCTTTACGGAAGCAGGCTTGGAAGGTGCTACGCCCCCTGCTGCCTTCTGTGGCTTCTTCTTAACTGGGGCTTTGGATGTCTTCTCCTCCTCCTCCTCTTCACTGCTGGAGCTGTCGGAATCAGAACTGCCCTCCCCATCAGCCTGAGGAGGCTGTTTGGCAGGCACAGGTGGAACTGCTTTGGCAGTCACCTTGGACTTAGGGGTGGCTGCAGTCTTCTTTGCCTTTTCCTCCTCCTCACTAGAGCTGCTCTCCTCCTCACTGGAGCTGCTATCAGCCTTTCTGGTCAGAGGCTTCTGGCCACCACCTGCAGGCTGCTTGAGAGCGGCAGCTGGCTTAGCTGCAGGCTGCTTGGGAGTGGCAACTGGCTTACTCGAGGAATTCTTGGTGGCACCAGCTGGCTTGGCAGGAGCTTCATCCTCAGAGCTGTCGGAGTCTAGACAAACACGAAGGACAGAAGAATCAGCTCCCGAATCAATTGGAGGAACCCTGTAGCAGCTGCCCACAGATCACCCCGCTGCCCTGAGTGCCTCCCTAGCCATACCTGAGCTGTCTGAGGAGCTCTCCGCTGCCTTCTTTGCTGGTGCTGGCTTAGGGGTTGTTTTAGAGACAACTGCCTTAACTGGAGCTTTCTTCTCCTCCTCGGAACTTGAATCTAGGGAGAACCTGGGGCATTATGTTGGGTCCAGAATACCACTCCAACCAGGAGAGCAACAAAAAGAACACAGACACACAGAAAGCCTTAGCCCTGCCTCAGTTTAGCAAAAAACAGTAGAGGGACAGTGGATCTTCCCCCTCCCTATCCCTCATGGTCCTCCCTGCCACATGTGTGCGTGCACACACACTCCTAGCAGCACTCCTGACTCACCAGACTCATCACTGCTGTCTTCACTACTCTCCTCAGGCTGTTTCTTCTCTACAGCTTTCTTGGGAGGCTGGGTTCCTGGGGACTTCTTCGGTGCAGGAGCAGATGGTGGGGGTACTGAGCTGTAAGGACCTGTTTGAAAGGGACGACATGGTGATTTAAAAACATGTACCCAACTCATTTGACACACTGCCCTCTTCTGGATGCAGGGCCTGACTCATCTCAAGTACAAAGTACAAGGTGCAGGTCATGTCTTGCCACTTCCCAGTCTTTCTTGCTAGGACCCTCAGCTCGGGGATCATGTTACAAAGACACTCAACTCAAGCAGCTCCATGGAGAAGTCCGTGCAGTTATTGTAACTGGGTCCAGGACAATCGGGAGTTTCACTCCCCATGTTCACTAACCTGGTTTTTTCTTCACGGGTTTTTTCTGCTCCTCTTCCTCCTCACTGGAGGAATCCTCACTGCTGGAACTCTTCTGGGTAGGGGGAGCAGCTGCTTTGACTGGAGCCTTGGCCACAATTTGCTTTTTAGGTACAGCCTGTGTCCGAGAGAGAAAATCCATGACTTCAAAAAAATACTGATGAACCCTGCCAGGGAATGGAAAGACACACAGACCCTACATTCCCTGATACAAGTTCTAGCCCATACCTTCTTGGGAACGGCCACAGCCTGCTCCTCCTCGGAGTCGTCACTGCTGCTGCTGCTACTGCTGCTGCTGTCAGCTGCTTTGCCATTGGCCACTTTAAGTGCTGCTCGAGCTGGTGTCCCTAAAGGAAAAGGAAGTAAGCACTACTAAAACTTTCCTGTGATGGCTGTCTAGCCTAGCAATTAAGATCCTCAGTAAGATGCTGGCATCCCGTATTGGAGTGCATGGGTTCAAGTCCCAGCTCTCTCCCAATTCCAGTTTCCTGCTAATGCTCATCCTGGGAGGCAGCATTAAGTACATTAGAGACCTGGGTTCAGTTCTTGGCTACAGCCTGACCTACCTATTGCAGGCATACGGGGAGGGAATCAGTAGATAGGAACTGTCTGTTTCCCTTCTCTTTCAAATAAAAACTTACCCTCCTACTAATGGGAAACTTAGGAGTCCACCTTTACAGCAATCATAAAGGAGAATATCAGTTTATCATCTCTGGGGGCCGGGACTGTGGCATAGAAGGTTATACCTCCACCTGAAGCGCCGGCATCCCATATAGGTGCCTGACTGCTACACTTTTGATCCAGCTCCCTGCTAATGCACCTAAGAAAGCAGAAAATAGCCCAAATACTTGGGCCCTGCACCCCATGGGAGACCAGGAAAAGCACCTGGATCCTGGCTCCTGCCATCGGATCAGCGCGGTGCGCCGGCTGCAGCGGCGGCCATTGGAGGGTGAACCAACGGCAAAGGAAGACCTTTCTCTCTCTGTCTCTCTCACTGTCTACTCTGCCTGTCAAAAAAAATCTAGCAGAAGAAAAAAAAGGTTCTCACAAAGCACAGGAATGAAATCATACTGATTAGTGTTACTTTGTTGAAAAAAGAAAAAAGCTTTTTATTAATAAAGTTTCATGCTTGGAAACTAATAGAGAAATAGTCTTTGTGGCAAGAAAAAGGATGTTTTTGAAAAAGGAGTATAAAACATAGTATAAAACATTAGTATAAAACAGTACCTGGTTTAGGTGGAGCTTTAGCCTGAGCCTTAGGTGCCACAGGTGTTGTCTTCGGCTGCTGCTGCTTTGGTGCCTCATCTTCTGAGCTTGAGTCAGAATCAGAATCTGAGCTCTTAGCCTTCTTAGGAGTAGCTCTGGCTGCCTTAGCTTGGGGCTTAACTACCTTCTGTGAGAAAACACACAGGAAGAAATCATCAAGAGCCACCACGTACCCAAAGAGCATCCTTAGCTCCGTTTATTTTATAGGGGTTTGATGGAATAGTAGAGATGAGGGAAGCTAAGCAGGACAGAAAATGGAAAGTACAAAAGACTCTCAATAAGAATCAAAGTAGCCACTTGATTGATACATTGGCCCCTACTCTGCCAAGAGCTTCCAACAATACACAGCCATTCCTGGAGCCCTAAACAGAATGCCAACTCAAACCTCTCAGGCAGAAAGGAGCCCAACTTCAACATCATACATCCTTTCTGGAACTCACATCTCCATCATCTCCCCTAAAAGCTGCCAGTTTGTTCCTCATATTTGCCTATTGCAAAAACCACCATGACCCCTCTGATCACAAGCTAGAAGACAAGATTTTAAGTTTCTTCCTTTCCAAATCCTTAAGCAATCCCCTTTGCTTCTCCAAGCTACAAACCTGGACAGGTTTTTTCTTTTTCTCTTCCTCTTCCTCCTCATCACTGGATTCTTCACTGCTGCTACTCTCTGATGCTTTGGCTGTAGCCTTTCCAGGATGCTGGGGCAGACTGGCCCGCTTGGCAGGTACAACTGAACAAAACAGGTCCCAGTTAACACCAGCCATGCAGTACAGGCAAGCTGCAAATTATTTTCCTTGAACCACCAAGCCCAACCCCTTGCCCTGCCTTACCAGCCTTTTTAGCGGGAGGCTCTTGAGCTTTTTCCTCTTCCTCACTGCTGTCCTCACTGCTGTCACTGGATGAAGTTTGCTTAGCCTTCTTAGTCACTGGTCCATTTGCCTGTAATTTCCTCTTTGGGGCCTTGGTTGACCTGCTGAAGTAGGATCAGCCTTACTTCAGGTGGATCCGGACCTTCTCAAACCAAGTAACACAGCCCAGCCCACCTGGGGACAGCAGCTGGGGGAGTGGGGCTGGGGTGGATGACAGCCAAGGTGGAACAGGGAAGGCTTACTTGAGCCAGAAGCTATAGATGTCCAAGAGAGAAGAGGCATTGGCATCCTGTTGTGTCTGCAGAAGAAAAAGAGGTGGGTAAGGAAATGCTTTCCTGTTCATCAGGAGAGTTAAGATCTTACATTACATTTATTAAATGTGACCTGTCATATATACTTTTCCTTCTTGCATAAATTAGGAGAAAAATATTATACTTGTGTATTTCAACTTTTTTTTATATCAAAAACTTGGGCTCTGCGCCAATACTACAGTGCAGGAGGCACCACTTATGAGCATGGGTTCAAGGCCTGGCTCTGCTCCATTTCTGATTCAGTGCCCTGCTAATTCATCTGGGAAGGCAGCAGAGGATGGCTTGAGTGCCTGGGCCACTGCCACACATGTGGAAGACCCAGATGAAATTCCAGGTTCCTGTGTCCATTTGGGGAATGAGCCAGCTAACGAAAAAATACCCCTCTCCCACTTTCAAATAAATATAAATAAATCCTTAAAAGGGGGGGGGGGGGACTAGCACTGTGTAGAGAGTAAAGCATCCCATATATCCCATATATTGAGTCCTGGCTGCTCCAATTCCAATCTAGCTCTCTGTTATGGCCTGGGAAACCAGTACAGGATGGCCCAAGTCCTTGGGCTCCTGCATCCACATGCGAAAACTGGAAGAAGCCCCAACATCCTAGGTTCGGATTGGCTCAGCTCAACTCTGGCCATTGCAGCCATTTGGGGAGTGAACCAGCAATGGAAGACTTCTCTCTCTGCCTCTCTATAACTCTTCCCAAAACGGGGTGTGTGTGTGTGTGTGTGTGTGTTATTTCTATAGTTTGTAGAACTACCTACTCCTCTGCCTGTCAATCATATTTATCAAAGTGTTTAGGAAATTTCATTCCCAATTCCCAAACCAGTGGAAATTTTTTGAGATAACCTCTACTTTTGGGAGCTCAGTTTTCAGGAGTCAACTGACTTCCTGAATTGTCTTTGGAGGACAGGTGAGGTATACACTTTTTTTTTTTTTTTTTTTTAATTTTTGGAGAAGCAGAAAAAAAGACCTTCTATTCATTGGTTCGCTCCTCAAATATCTACAATATCCAGGACTGGGCCAAGCAGCAGCCAGGAGTTGAGAACTCAATCCAGGTTTCCTGCATGGGTGGCAGGGACCCAGTTAATTACTTAAGCCATCATAGCTGCCTCACCAGGTCTGCATTAGCAGGAAGATGGAATCAGGACCACAGCCAGAAATCGAATTCAGACACTGTATGGGTCACAGTCATTCTAGCTGCTATCTTAACTGCTAGGCTAAATACCCATCCCCATATACTACTGTTTTGTGTGTTTTTCGCAAAATAGTGTTAACCGTTTTTCTTGGGAAATGCTCCTATTGCAAGGATCTGATTTATTTTGATAAGCAAGTTTACCAAAAATTTTGAACTTAGTTGTAAATGACTGATCTTAGTACATGTGCTGCCAAAGCAAGCACAAATGACTGATTTTTTTTTTTTTTTTAAGATTTATTTTATTTATTTGAAAGACAGAGTTACATAGAGAGGTAGAGCCACAGAGAGGTCTTCCATTCCGCTGGCTCATTTTCCAAATGACTGCAACAGCCAGAGCTGAGCTGATCCAAAGCCAGGAGCCAGAAACTTCTTTCGGGTCTCCCACACAGGTGCAGGGGCCCAAGGACTTTGGCCATCTTCTGCTTTCCCATGCCATAGCAGAGAGCTGGTTTGGAAGAGAAGTAGCCAGGACTAGCTCTGGCGCCCATATGGGATGCTGGAACCTCAGGTGCCAGCCCCCAGGCAACATTTTAAAAATCAGTCATTTTGGGGCCAGCACTGTGGAATAGTGGGTAAAACTGCTGCCTGCAGTGCCACCATCCCATAGGGTACAGGTTAAGTCTCAGCTGCTCCACTTCCAATCCAGCTCTCTGCTTTGGCCTGAGAAAGCAGAAGACGGCCCAAGTCCTTGGGCCCCCACACCTGCCTGGGAGACCCGGAAGATGCTCCTGGTTCCTAATCGGCACAGCTCTGGTCGTTGTGGTCAACTGGGGAGTGAACCAGCAGATGGAAGACCTCTCTCTCTGTGTAACTCTGACTTTCAAATAAATAAACAAATCACTAAAAAAAAATTTTATTTTACCCTGAAATAAGGGCACAAACACTAATACAAGTGGGAGTTTGCTTCAATGTGAATTATTAGAAACAAGCCTCCAAGAGAACACTGGTGGACACTGTATACTGCAAAGAATGGTACTCAACCATTAATTACTCTGATACAGATGAACTGATTAAGAAAAAAAAAAGAGTGACAGTACATAGAAGAGTACAGGCTCAGAGTCAGCTGAGTATAGGAATAAAGTGTGTGATCTTGGGCAAATTAACCCAAAATTTTTCTTTCTATAAAATGGAGATAATACTACACATCTCAGAGAGGATAACAGATAAGGTATATATGGGGCCGGCACTGTGGCGTAGCAGGTAAAGCCACCACCTGCAGTGCCGGTATCCCATATAGGTGCTGCTTCAAGTCCCGGCTGCTCTACTTCCGATCCAGCTCTCTGCTATGGCCTGGAAAAGCGATGGAAGATGGCCTCAGTCCCTGGGCTCCTGCACCCATGTGGGAGACCCGGAGGAAGCTCCTGGCTTCAGACTGATGCAGCTCAGGCCGTTGCAGCCATTTGAGGAATGAACCAGTAGATGGAAGACCTTTCTCTTTCTCTCTCTCTGCCTCTCTGTAACTGTACCATTCAAATTAATATATAAATCTTAAAAAAAAAGTGATAAGGCAATAAGAACTTAGCATTTAGCAACAGCATCCAGCCCTTCGTTAACTCTGCACAAAGATGAGCTTTTGTCATATAAAACCCAGGAATATTAACTGTCCATTGTGGAAACACTCCTGGCAGTCTCCTTATCAGTCAACTCAAAGCAGTTCCAGTAAGCAAGTAGTTAGATCCCTCGGAGGGCTGTTCCAGTCTTAATAAATTCTTCCTATCACTGATCTGATCGCCTCCTGTTGCAATCCACTCTGACTGCTACAAAGAACTAGTTATCTTCTTGGTTCTATCATCTGCCTAGGACTACCACTCCATCTCTTTCCGGGTGTTTTCTGATGCATGTGTCAGCTTTTCTTTGAGATGTAGATTTTATAAATCTTTCTCATTCCAGACCACCTTGCTCTTACAGGTGTTTGGAGCATACTAAATTGCCCTAAGTATGAATAACAACTTTTACTCATCCATGCACCAGACTGAGATTGCCACTTTGCATATTTTATCGTACTGATATTCATAAAGATCCCACGAGGTGAACAATAACTTCCTGCAGAAATAAGGACAGGGAGGTTAATTAAACTGCCCAGGTCACACACCTTGGAAGTGGCAAGGCCTGGTCCCAAACATAACTTAGTTTGAGTCCACTAGCCAAAGTTCCTGGCCTGCTCCTATGTCTCCTTGGTAGGGCTGTTTGCTATTCAATCCTATACTCAAATCATTACAACCAAAAACGGAATCCTACCTCTCTTTAGCAACGAAAATCCCAGGCTTTGTTCCTAAAGCAATTTCATTTATCTGTGAGGCCAGGGAAATTCGACCGAAACTATGGTCAAATCACACACTGCCTCAGCCAAGGAGCACCCCCTCCCAAAAGCGCCGCCAATGCTCTCAATGGGATACGGCGTTCGCTCCTCGCCGCACTCTGCGAGCCACGTGACCTCGACCACGCGGGTCCCACGCCGCTGCCTCTCCACCGCGAGGAAGCAACAAGACAGTGTTACCTACTCAGACCTCGCAAAAGGGACTCCGGGGCCATGGGCTTTCTCCAGCCACTGCCGACTGATCGGAACAAAGACCTCGCTAATGCTGGGCTGGTGGACCCCACACACCTGCTCGTCAGGAAACCTAAGCATGCCAGGGCCTGGACCCTGTGCCCATCCCGCCCCGGCCCGCGTCCGAAGCCCGAGACTCACAGCGCCTGTCGCTTTGGCGAACTTATTGGCCACCTCCGAGAGCTGGTTATCGCGCAGAAAGCCGAGCACGAGGGGATACAGGTCGCTGGGAACCACGCGGCGCAAGCCGGCGTCCGCCATCCTCCCGGCAGTACGCGTCACTACCGTTGGCGACGCACCTCGACCTAGGAACCCGAAAGGCGCAGGGGGCGGGCGCGTGACGTCACTTCGCCGCGCGGGCGCAGAGCGGAAGGGGTGGGACTCCACAGGGCAGTCCTGACCCCACCCCGCAAGCGGGGTCAAGGCGAAAACCCTATGCTCCTTCCGGTCCAACGCAAATCGCCATCTTGGTAAGGGTGGAGTCCACCGGCCGCCGCTTTTGTGAAGGCGGAGCTCTGACGTCAGGGTCACGCCCTCGGCGTGGCGGGAAAACTCGGGACTTCCCGCGCCTTGTCTTTGGGCGGGAGGCATCCTTTCCGAGTGTGGGTTTCCCGCGCCTCAGCTGGGACGTGGACCACATTAGTGACTGGACCCGTGGGCCCTCGGCTCTTTAGACAGGGTCACAGAGTTCCCAGCTGCCCCCGTTCCCGATGCCCGTGGTTCCATTCTTCATTTTCACCGCAGCCGACACATAGTGAGGGTCCTGGTAATACCACCCCAGCCTTTCAATTCCCCTCTCCACTGCAGAGCCTCCCTCAAGTTACCAGTTGTTTGGGGGAAGGGGCTGGACGTGTTTTGATTCCCAGAACTGCTCCTCCCTCAAGTCATGATTTTTTTTTTTTTTTTTAATGTGCTGACTGTGGGTTCATCATACATTGCTCTGATGGTTTTGAGGACTGTTCCTTTTTTTTTAACCTGAGGGGCCGGCGCCATGCAGTAGCGGGTAAAGCCAATGCCTGCACTGCCAGCATCCGATATGGGCACCGGTGCAAGTCCCAGCTGCTCCACTTCCAGTCCAGCTCCCTGCTAGTGTGCCTGGGAAAGCAGTAGAGGATGGCCCAAGTCCTTGGACTCCTGCATCCACGTGGGAGACCCAGAAGAAGCTCCTGGCTCCTGGGTTCAAATCGACCCAGCTCTGGCTGTTGTGGCCATTTGGGGAGTGAACCAGCAGATGTTCACTCTTCTCTGCCTCTCTGTAACTCTGCCTTTAAAATGAATCTTTTTAAAAAATTTTATTTGAGAGGCAGAGTTTGAGAGGGAGACGAGAGAGAAAGCTCTTCCATCCCCTGGTTCACTCCCCAAATGGCCACAATGGCCAGAGCTGGGCCATCCAAAGCCAGGAGCCAGGAGCTTATTCAGGTCTCCAATGTGGGTAGAGGCCCGAGCACTTGGGCCATCTTCCACTGCCTTCCCAGGTCATTAGCAGGGAGCTGGATCAGAAGAGGAGCAACTGGGACTCAAACCAGAGCTCATATGGGGCTTAACCTACTATGCCACGGCAACAGCCCTGACTTGGTTCTAAGACAACCTTCCTCCTTGCCTTATAGGCAGGTTATGTTTAGTTTAACTCCATGAAAGGGAAAAGGTTGGTACAACCTTAATCACACAGCATTAATCCCTTCAATCTACAGTCCTAAAAATAACCCTTTTTCCTTCTGGGTCAGAAGTCACCCACCCTGGGAACTCACCCACCAGGTTCTGGGCCACATCAACAATCCTTTCAAACCTCCTCTTTGACTACTTCCCATTAAATCCCCTCAGGCAGGATAAGGATTACTTCCTCCAAGGGACATACCTCTCCTTTGTATTTCTCAAAACAGGCAGTCCCCTCTTTGAACTCCTACAGCTCTTCTTCCCCAGGGAGAAGCCTATCCACATGCACATACTCTTCAGAAAAATAAATAAATAAAGCATCCGCTGTGTGCCACACATTGCACTCAAGCTAAAATGGTGAACACAACTAAAACACTGAATGAGTGAGTGGGCTTAGGGGGTTAAGCCTGCCTGCAACGCAGGTATCACATACGAGTGCCAGTTCAAGTCCCACCTGCTCCACTTCTGATCTAGCTCCCTGCTAATGTGCCTGGGAAAGCAGTGGAAGATGGCCCAAGTGCTTGGGCCCCTGCTACCCATGTGAGACCCAAAGTTCCTGGCTTCTGGCTTCTGGCTTCTGGCTTTGGCCCGGGCCAGCCCTGGCTGTTTTGGCTTTGGAGAATGAACCAGCAGAAAGAAAATCTGTCTCCTCCTGACTCTGCCTTTCAAATATTTTAATTAAATAAGTAAAACATTGAATACATACATAAACTCATTTAAAAATCCTTTTATTTGGAACAAATCTGAGCTGCTTCTTGGTCTTGCTATCAAAATCCCCTCCAGGACCAGTATCATCACTTCACCTGAAATGCAGAATCTCTGGGCCCCACCTCAGTCAGAATTTGCATTCCAAAAAGATCTCCAGGGATGGACATTAGTGAAATGCCAAGGTTTGAGTGATGGCTTGGTTTCTAATTCCAGCTTCCAGCTAATGTGCACCCACCCTGGGAGGCAGCAGGTTATAGTTTAAGTACTTGGATCCTTGCCACCCACAGGAGAGCCCCAGCTGCTGGCTTTGCCTTGGCTCAGCTCTGGTTGCTGGACACATTTGGGGAGTGAACTAGTGAATCAAAGATCTACCTGCCTTCTAAATAAATAAGTAAAAATCCAAAAAGATCTCCAGATGATTCAATGAAAGCCCTTTCAGTTTTGAGGAGCTCTATCCTAAATGACTAATTTCACCCACAATGCACCTGAAGAACAAACTTTCAAATTCAGTTGAATTTTGTATCTGACAAGAGGCCCTAGATGACTATGTCCCTGACAGTGCTGAGAGTGAAGTGAATTCATTTGACACTAGTACTACAGAAAGAAGCACGACAGCACTTATGAGTTCTCTCTAGTTCCATGTTTATTAGTCTGCATAGTGACTTTGATGTTCCAAACACTGGGGGAACCCCTCAACCCCACCCATCTTACATAGGAATGCAAATTAACTTGTTTCAATACCTGTTATAAAAAACAAATACCTTTTAAAAATCTGATTTAACACATTTTTATTTCACTTTTTTTTCCATTTCTTTATAAAACAGTCATCTCCTCACTAGCAGCTCTCTCCCCTAGAGTGGGGGAGGGGGATGGAGGAGGTTGGGCACCTCCAAAGAAAAAGGGAGAGGGGGGTAGGGCCCAGGGTTACCTCCTGAGGTTCTTCTGGGCCTGTTTCAACAATGTGTCAAAATCAAGAGAATCAAATTTGCTCTTTACAGGAGCAGGATCAAAGTCTTCCCGGTTGGAGTCTATAAAGGTAGAGAGAGACACATGTCAAGTTTCCTGACCACATTTCCCAACTACAGGGTCCTTGTATCACATGACCAGCTATCTCCCAGCCAATGCTGGGGCTAAAATTGCCCTGGCTTTAAGTCAAAGGATGAGAGCGCCCTCATTTCTCCTCTCAACCCACCCCTTAGGTTCTGTGTATGTCAAATGAAGGTAAACCTACCTACCTCCCTCTGTCAATGAATTAGCAACACTTCTGGAGAGGAAATGAAGTATGTGGAAGCCTCAGGCCCTCCCTCCACTTACCAAGATCAGAATAGCTCCTCTTGCAGAACTGCCTGCGGCCCCCAAAGCATAGGTCAAAGGGCTGCTCATCTGCCTGGCGCAGCTTGTGGCCACTCTCAATGGCTGCAAATGCCTCCTCAGCATAGCGGTAAGTGACGAAGCCATAGTTGTCACTGGTGGGGAGGGTGAGGCAGAAGCTGGAGTGGTCATTTGGCCACATGCCAAGAACACACAGCACCCCAAAGTACAGCAATGGCTCTTGCTGCCTAGTGGCCAACCCTGACTGTAGAGATTAAGCCCCCACCACCACCACCACCCACCATTGCTCAGCACATCAGAGCAAGGAGGAAGACAAACATTAAGGTAAATGAATGGGACAGAAAGTACATCCTGACCTTGGGACCCAAGCTTACCCTTGAACACGGAAGTGGATGGTGCACTCCTCAATCTCTCCAAAGACAGAGAACCTCTGTTTCAGTTCTGACCGAGTCATGCGGCCAGGTATCTTCCCAATGAAGACCACCCTTCTCTCTTCCTATGTTGGATTGTCAAGGCAAATTGATACACCATGAGCCAGGGCTGCAGCTGCAGATGGCTCTTTGAGCTCCCTGCTCAGGGGCTAGTCTACTCCTCCCATGACCTGTTCTACTCACTATTGCACGCTCCTTCTGCAACACTCTCTGCCTTTGGTAATGGTCATGTGAACGGTAAGAGCCGTACCTGACAAGAAAATGTGTTGTCAGCCCCTCTAGAAACAAGACAATTCACCACTCTGGATTCTCAGGTACCTGAATCCCAGACCACATGCTCACCGCCGCCTCCGGTCACTTCTCCGGCGTGGGGATGGGGAGCGGGAACGGCTTCGGGAACTGGATGATGAGGAAGAGGAGGAGGAGGAGGAAGATGATGAGGAGGAAGAGGAAGAGCATCTTCGGGATCGTCCAGAGGAACTGCAGCTAGACCTAGAGAATAAAAGGACATGCCAGAATGTAGGGAACGGTGCAGGTGCACTTTACTTACCTCTCCCAGGTCCCAGCCCTGCCTCCTTGTCAGGAAGCTCAGGACCAAAGATCAAGCAGAGCAAGAGATCTAGAACAGTTTTTTCTTCTAGATGAACAGACTGAGGCCCTTTGTGGAAATTTAGATGTATCTGGAATGCTTTGGAGTGTTCTGGCAGAGATCATGTTTATTGTCAGTTGTGCAATTAAAAAGAATTAAAAACACTTAACAAGTCAATAAAAAGGAGGGGGGAATGGACAGAGGGAGAGAAAGGACAGGGCCCTGGGCCTTACAGCCAGCAATCTGTGGTGCTGGGGCCAGACCTGGCTCTCTGGATTATTCCTGCTCCCCTAGCACCCTCCAAAGGAATACCATGGCATAAAGGATTGTGACTATGCTAGACCTAAACTAGGGGACATTTCTAACAATATGCATTGCTGCCAAAACCCAGAAATTCTTCATTGGTTAAGTGGGAAAACTTGGGTCTGTTACTGAGACAAAGATATTGCCAGGAAATACATGAGGTCACAGCAACACCCAAAGTAACTGCTCCAGCCAATTTTCCCAGCAGACAGTTAAGGGATGAGTTTTTTACCATTAACAATTAACCCACTATCCTACATACCAGCGAGAAAACACCATAAATAAGGACTGATGAATGGGAAGAAATCACCACGGTCAAGATCAAACCCTACGTCTCCTCAAAGGTAGGTCTCATGGAAGCAAGAGACCTTAGGGATATCCCAAACTTCAACAAGGAGTAGAAGCTATCATTTCACAGCCTGCCTCCTTCAACAATCCAGGAAAGAGGAGAAGTCAAAAGCAAAGACAGAAATAGAAATCTTAGAGCCTGAAGTATCACAGTCAGTGTGTAAAAGCTTTCAGAGTAAACCACAGGAGAACACATGAACTTCCTAAATGCACAAGACCTAACAAGGCCATCAGAGCTCACCTTCGCCACCTCTTGTGTGGGGGGGAGAGGGACCGGGACCGGGACCGGGATGAGGAAGACGACGATGAGGATGAAGAGGAAGATGCTTCGCTGGTCCGGTTGGACCCAGAGCTGACAGAACGGCTGCTGCGGCCGCGGCGGCCCTGCCAGCCCCGGCTTGGGGGACTGGCTGACCTGCAGGCTTTTCGGTAACAGCGCACTGACCGCTGCTTGGTTGAAGGCTCTGGGGGAGTCCTAGTGTTCGCGTCATTTCGGCAGGGTGAGGCCTCAGGGGACAGCAAGGCAGATGGGGCAAGGCAAGGTGCTGAGGGATCTGCCTGCTCATTGCTAGTCCTGTGATCAAGTGGCTCCTGGGAGGCAGCTGTGCGTGGGGGCATAGGAGCAGCTGGAACCAGGGACAAGACAGGTTTGATGGTGATATCCTGATGGCGTTTGACATTCCACCGAGAGCCCACCTCTGGAATGACTAAGGCAGGCATCTTTTTTGGGGGGGTCCTGCTCCGGACACAATAGTCATGGTCCCCAGAGCCCACATGGACTGGATTAGGGCCATGGACCCCTTCTTGCAGGCAGGCTGCAGCTGGATGTTTGGCCTCTGTAACTCCTTCAGGCTTCAGGGTTCCCTCCTGGGCGGTGGACTTAGGAGATCTGGCTTTGGCCAGCAGTGAGACAGCAGCCAGGGGCTTCCATAACTGGTGGGGAGGGGTAGCTGGAGGGGTGAGCCCTGTGAGGGGAGGGAGGATGGAGATAGTAGGATGAGATCCGATTCTATACTTCCAAATACTGCGTACATAGGCTTCAGAGAACCCCACCTCATCTCACAGCACACCAAGCATGGTCAACAGCCCAACTTTCACTGTTTCAACTGTTCCTTCCCCATCTTCATCTTGGAACCAGCAAGGGGGAAAAAAAAAAAAAACAACCCAGCCAGCCAGGGTCTCCCTGAACTCCTCATCTCCTCATACCCAAACTTAATGGGTGACCAGGTACTACCCAGTCTATTTCTCCACTCTTAAATCCACCCTTTCCACCCAGCACTGACTGACTTCTGGGTTGCATCTTGCCTGGACTCTTGCAATAAACTTTAGAATGTCTCCCTACTTCCAGCTTCATACCTGTCACTTATCTTCTACATCCCTGGTAAAGATTTTTCAATTGCTTCTTCAACACACAAGATAAAGTCCAAACTTAACACAACTTTCGAAGTTCCCACAACCTGACCTATTTACCATTCCAGCTTGCTTTAGCTCTACCCACCACCCTGATCAGCCACTATACTTCAAACCAAGCCATTCACAATTCCCAAAAAAATATCAGCCAGGTTTATTCAGTTCACTCAAGCTACTCCACATGCCAAGGCCCTGTCCCCAAAATCCACCACCTGATCAATTATCATTTTCTCACACCTCAGCATGGGTGATAACCACCTATAACCTTTCTCTCGACTGCCCCTTCAGATCTCCCTGTAAACTACACACTTACCATACCACCAGATACTTAACATACCCATTTGTTTAAGCATCTGTCCCTTAGGCTGTGAGCACCTCAAGGACAGAGATCAGATCTCTGCATTAACACCTACACACACTTGACGTAGAGCAGGCTCTACACATGTTCGCTGTATCACCTGGTGATAGGCAGAGTTCCCCACCCTGAACCCACCTGCCACGTTGGCCAGTTCTGGGGCTTGTAACCGGTCTAGGGGCCTCTTCTCCTGGGGAGTGTCAACGCTGCTGGCGGGGGGAAAAGGGAAAGCCTGGTTCATTGCCTCCTCAGTATCTTGCACATCTGCTTTCCTCACAATGCGACGGGAGGGGATGGGTACACAAAAGAGTGGGATGCACACACTGCTCCATTACTCTCCTTCAGCACAAAAGGGGTCTTAGTGACTCAACTGTAGACTGGGTCTCAATTCAGCTCTGCCTGACTCCAGGAGGCAGGGTGGCTATCGCCTACCACCACCTTTAAATTAGGAGTCTCGCCTGCTTAGCTCAAGCCAATGTGAAACCACCGTGGAGGGGAAGAAGCTTGTCAAAACAGGATGGGGTAACGCTGATCACAAAAATTGGTTAAAAAAAAAAAAAAGCCTCATGTCTGAAGACAGGAGCAAGGGATGGGATACTTGTGTATTACAAGGGGTCAGGGACTAGCCACTAACATCTTTCCCTACCTCAAGTTACCCCATCACCAGCATTGAACAAGCTTAGTCTGGTGCGAAGGCAGGAAATCACCAAGGCATGACCTGCCAGAAGACAACAGGGCACCTCCAGCGCATTTGGCATATTTGACCAGAGTCAGCTGGGCGGTGGGGGGAGTACACATGCTCCCACCTCACTGCCCAAGACAGTGCCCAGCAGTGACGGGCAGCAGGGAATGGGCAAAAGGGAGACATCTTCCTGTTGACTGAACATCCTGCCCCAGAGGCACCAAGTCGACAGTCCTGGAGTGCCACCGGCTGCTGACCAACAGCTGTAGGGTAACTCGCTCCAGGGTCTCCATACTTACCCTGAGTTTCCTACAGCCAAGGTGTCAGCAGGAGCCGGGGGAGGACACTCCTTTTTGGCTGCAAGGAAACCATACTAGTTAAAGCCCACCAAGATGTTCTACACTGAGGAGGCACAGAAGGGCTTGCTTTGAGACCCAAAGAAGGAAAATCCATTTGCCTACACGCAAACCCCCTGTTAGAATAGCTCCAAAGAGAGCCAAGCTCCTTCAGTGGGTGCCCAGGTACTGTTTAATCACATCTCTTCTCCAAAACACCCACATTCCCCATTGATTTTGACATACTGTCCAAATTTACACACCTAGCATTCAAGGTTCTACAGAACCTGCCCAACTTACTAGCCTTGTAGCCTACTCTTGCCCTACACTCATTTCTATCTTGCCATGTACCAGAGACAAGTGTTTCCAACTCAGCGGTCATTTGTGCAGGTTCTTCTCCTCCCCAGGCCATAAGCTCCACAGTATCCAGAGCCATGCCTTGCACTAAGAAAACAGAACTATTCCTTGCCTGCCAAATACACCAACGTGGCCCTTCCTATACCTGATCTCTGCCTTTCTTTACCACATACATTCTAGGAGCTCCTTTCAGTGCCCAGCTTGAAAGCTTCTTCCCTCTGGAAAGCTGTCCCCAAACAATCTCAACCCCCTCAAACTTCCCCATCTACTTTGGGACAGCACTTGCCATCCTGTGCCATCACTGACTCGGGGTTCTATCACTGTCACGGGTGAGTCTTGCCTCCCTATTGCCATTAGGGAGCTGCTCCAATGGCTGAGACTGCCCTCCTCCCCACCGTACCATCCCACTTTAAGCAACCACAGAGCTGAGCCTAAACGCAGTATCAACAATCAAAAAATGGGATGGAACACAACTACCCAGATTCCCTCACCTTCCGATTTCTCAAACTGCTCCAGCAGACTGGACAGATCCGACGCCTCAATTCCTGTGGAGGCACACAACACAGGATTGAAAACTAGCCCTTACCAACTGAGTCAGCCCACAGATCCCAAAAAGCCCCCAATCACCTCATTTCTCCCTCTATATGCCCCGGTACACTGTACTAAGTACCATCAAGGTAGAAGCACAAAGCACAAAGATTCCACAGACCCAGAGCTCCACCTCTCAAAAAAACTCTCCAAGAAATCCAACAGAGGGCAGCCTCTTCATGTTTACCGTGTTCTAAGGACAGCATTCCTCAGCCAACCCATGCCCTTCTTCACACCCACTGAACCAGGCGGCACTCACCAATCTCACTGATGAAAGCCTGCACCACATCTTCAGGACCCTGGGTCCGCGGGGCAGGCAGGAAGGACAGCTTCCTTAGACGGGCTGGGTGGACAGCAGGCAGCTTGGGCACAGTGCTCTGCCGTGGTGTGGGAAGAGCCCTGGTAGCAGGAGAAGGGGACTTCTCCTTGGGCTTGCTCTCCTGAGTCTCAGACTTCTCTGACCCAGGTGCAACAGCCACACCCTCGGCAGATGGACATGGTGGAGCCTTGCCACGGGGACTTTGCACCGAGGAGGACCCCTTAGGTTTCGAATGAGGAGATGCAGGCACAGGCTTGACCTCTACCTTGGTGTGCTCTATCTGTGGAGCTCCATGGCCAGCTGGCTCAACAGTGAGGGCAGGAGCCATGGGCGTGGAAAGTACATTATCAGGAGGGCCAGCTGGAATGCCACTGGGCTCTATCTTGGATGGGGGCACAGCTCTCCCAACAGAGGCTGGAGGTAAAGGAGGTGGGGGAACAGTAGACCAGAATGGAGGGTGTTGTGGCCCTGGGCCCCATCCCATGGGCCCATAGGTACAGGTGGAACTGTAAGGTGACACTGGGGCAGGAGGGGGTACCCAAGGCACATTACAAGTGGGGGGCACAGCGTAGGTGCCAGGAGTACCAGACACCAGGGGCACAGCTGGTGGGGGAGGCAGGCAAGGATAGCCAGAAGGGGACACAGGGGGATAACAAGGCCAGGGTGGCACAGGAGCATAGTGAGGATAGGGATCAGGTGGCACTGGCCCTACAGATACTGGAAGACTAGGAGGCTGCAATGGAGGAGGGGGCAAACTGGGAACCCCATGCCCACTTGCAGGTGGGGGCAGCATAGGGGGCATCCCCAGCCCACCTGGGGGAAAAGGCAGACCAGTTGGCATGGGGGGAGCCATGGGCCCAACAGGGGACACAGACTGCACAGAAGGGGGAGGTCTTGCCGGCAATGACATCTCCCGGGATAGCACCTGCTCAGTAGGAGTTGAGGCCACAGGTTTGCTTACAGGTGGCTCAGGACTAACAGAAGCAGGACTAGGGCCCACAGGCACAAAGCAAGCCTCAGGGGGAGCTTCAGAGCTTCTCTGCAGAGTTGTCTTCTTGGCTGGAGCTGGTGGCACAATAAGACAAGGGATGTCTGCCAGCCCCGTAGGAGTCTCTGGGAGGCTGGGCCACTTCCCAGCTGGAGGCTGGGGACTCCTCTCTTCTGTCTCTGCTTGACGCTGCTGCCGTCGCCGCCGGTACTCAGAAAGGCTGAGAGGCCGAGGTCTGGCTTCCTGGGTTGTGGTACTGGTACCACTTTCCACCTTGAGAGCACCCACAACCTCCCTGGCTTCAGGGATGATGGCCTTTGTGCAGTCTGAGGACTCTGACTCCAGGAGATGAGGAACTAGACTCCCCTGGGCTGCGGCGGCGGCTGCTGCTGCTGCCGCCGCTGCTGCACGTCTGGGATCAGTTGGTCTGGACTTAACTAGCACAGGGTCAACTGGAGCCAGGTCACTGGGAACAGAGTCAACTGGTGTTGGGCTGACAACTGGCACTGGATCAGCTGCAACAACATCGACCAATGGTATATCATCTGAGGTGGGAACAACCCTTGCAGGGTCAACTGCTGCTGAGTCAGACACAACAGGGCCAATTAGCACTGGGTCAGGTGGGTGAGAGTCAACGAACACAGGGTCGCCTTCAGGGGGACCAGCTTCAGCAGAGTCAGGCAGCGAGAGATGGGCTGGGACAGGGCTGCCTTGGACAGTGTCAACCAGCTTCGGGTAAAGATCTAGAGGACCTTCTTTAGCAGGACTACCTTGTCCTGCACTTCTCTCTGAGTTTCCAGGGCTAGGCTTTTCCAAGGCAGCTGCCCAGGCCCTAGCCCAAGCCCGAGGCTTCCCCCTACCCTGGGGTGGCCCACCCTCTCTTTGAAGTTCCTCCTGAGGCTGTTTCTGCAAGTTGCCTGCCTGAGAGGTCCTTTCTGTAGCCGTGGTAGACTGGCCACGACAGGATGACCTCAGCCTCCTAGCATAGCTTTCTGCACAGGCTGCTGGCTGCTCCTTACTCTTCTTCCTCCTGACCTTTCGGGCTCTCTGGGAACCCAGCACTGTATTGGCAGGTGGGTTCTGCAGCCCCTTGGGTTCCATGGCCTTGCTGGGCTCCAACAAGCAGGCCGAGCCCATCTTCTCTGAATCCAGTGACAAGCCATCTTTCTCAGGACAGAGGGCTGCCTTAGGCACAGCAGCCTCTGCCTCCGACTCCAATGTGGGCATGAGCAGCTGCAAGGCAGGACTTGCCTCTAGCGAGTCATCCAATAGCACAGGCTGAGGTCCAGGAGGTATCTGCCGCACCACAACCGGAATCTCCAAGTCATCACCAGCTGTGGCTGCCTGGCCCACAATCTCCAGCACCACACAACCCTCAGGCAGCGTCAAATCGCCTGGCTGCTCCTGAAGCTCATCTTCCAGTGACGCCAAGTGGGTGAGGTTGGGCAGGCAGTAGGGGTGCATGGCACGCACCAACTCACTCAGGGAGGAGATGCTCTCATCACCAGCCACTGGCCCTGCCATCTCCATGACCTTGTCTTCCTCCTCAGGGCAGGCCAAGTGCATGGGGAAGTCTGGAACGCTGCTCACTGAGTTGCTGAGCTCCCCAGCAAGCATCTGGCCACCAAAGCTGGCCGCCTCCTCCTCCTCTTCTCCATCACTGCGCTGCTGTGGGGGAGGAGACTGGCCCCAGCGTGGTCTTGATCTTGGGGGTCTCCAGCTAGGAAGCTTGGGGGAAGAGGTCTCTAAGAAGGAAGGTGGGGAGAAGTCCCAAGAAGGATCTGCAAGAGACATCTCAACCTGCAGGAGGAAAGGAGAGAAGTCTGAAGACTCTTCTCCAGGCAAGTATTCTCCAGACCTGTCCCCATAAACCACTTCCAACTGGGAGCTCCTGAGGTCTTGTAGGTCAGGCTTACCCCATTCATTCTACTGCTGCCTGTGCCAGACCCCAGTGAGTCTACTGGGGTGATGAGGTCACGTTCTGGAGGCGTCCGAGAGAGAGTCAGCAGCTTGTGCAGCTAAGAAGGAAAGACCTGAATTTGTCTGTGCTTCAGCATGAGCGAGCAGGCCCGCAGACATGCACCAACCATATGTCCCCTTCCCCAGGTCCCACACTCACAGAGGAGCCCTCCCGAGGTGACACAAGCAACTCCGAGTCAGGAATGCTGTCAAACGGAGACAGGTTCTCAGAATCCGCGTTGTCCAAGATCTCCGTCAGCGCTGTCAGCAGCGATACTTCATTCTGGTCGTCCAGAGATAATCTGCTCTGCTCCAGAAAGACAACAGGAAGGTCTCACCAACCTCTCTACTGAGCTCTGGCCACTGAGGACTGGATGCCAAGGATCCTATCTCCCAGGCCCAGCAGCTCAATTTGCCAGTGAGAGGGATCGGAGCAAACAGTCATGGCTTTCTCTGTAACTCTGCCTCTCCAAAAAAAAAAAAAAAAAATTCATGGCTTCCAATCCCTTTCACCATCCACCACCTCTCTAATGTCAACGGACACTTGTCAGACATGAGTCTTAAGCTTTGAGTTTCACACTCCACCCCACCTTCAGGTGAGATGAAGATGCTCAGTAGAGCATCTAGCACCCCAACCCTAACCCAACCCTTGGCCAGACTAGAATTGGGACCAAAAACTAACTCAAACCTACACCCTAGGTCAGGGGCTCAACTGGAGGGAAAAGTCTTGGACTATAGTCCCAGCTAGCCACGGCATCCCTACATGGCACATAATCTGGCAGCCTGCAGCCTAACTCCCACCTAGAAACAAAAAAGTTCAAGGACTCAGGTTGGGCTCCCGGGAGCCAAGGTCTTGGAGAGCAGAACCATGCCTGAACAACTCCAGGGATCGGAGCTAGAGCCCCTCCCATGCAAAACTCCTGCCTGAACATCTCCAAGTCCAGCTCCAGCTCACCTCTCCAAGGCTCCCAAAATCCTCAATAAGGGAGATGAGAGAGGCATCCATGTAGCTCTGCATGGTCCCCAGCAATGTCTCATCCTGCAGCATCAGCTCCTCCATCTCCAGGTCCTTGTCCCTCAGAGAGGGGCCCAGCCGAGACAGATTGACAAAGCCAGAGTCGTCCCCCTCCTCATGCACCAGCACCTGAAGCAAAAGGGGAAAGGTCAGAAGAGCCCAGGCCCTCGGGGGCAGCTGCCTGATAAGCTCCACACACCAGGTCCCCAGCCCTTCCCCAGCGCTGCCAAGCTCAGCAGCAGCCCTACCACGGCCAAACCTCTGGGCAAGCTGAGCCAAGAGAAGCACAGCCCGTGAGCAAAATCCCCAACCAGGACAGCAGTGTTCTGGGAAGAAAAGTTTAGGCTCTATTCAGAAATAGATGGGGTCCCAGGGGATTATTATACTGGGGAGTAAAAACATCAAACAGGTCAAAATCACTCAGAAGTCACCCGTTGACAGTGGCGAAAGCAACAGACAAGGGGGCACACACCTACTGCAAACCCCATTTAGGCTTCTGTTTTTTGCCTAGCTCAAATGCTACCTCTCCGAGAAGTCACCTCAGGCTTCTCTGGCCCATGCTGGTCTCTCCTCACCCCTACATTCACACAATCGCCTAACACTTGCTTTCCTGGCAATCACAGCCCATCTCCTCAGCCCCATGACATTCCTATAAAAACTGGATTTCAAGTTCCTCTAGCGCAAGTAACCCTTTGCATTCTTTTAGCTTATATTCTCCTGAGCTCCTACAGGAGTTTAAAAGTGCTAATACCTTCCAGTTACCCAGGATGCCCAGCACAGTGTCTAATACGCCCAACAGACTGCCACCGAGCTGTCAATGGTAGTCCCAAGGGAAGGGTCTGTTTCCCCACCTCTACCAGGTGAGAACAAGAGTCTGATGCTGCAGATGTCCTAGGAGAGTCAGCAACATCTTCAACCTCCTCAGGCAGGGAGGCACCCGCCCAGACCTGTCAACAGTGTGGGTGTGGGCAGGGTCAGAAATGGCTGGAATGGGATTGGTGAGGCCAGAGGCCAGAACAACAGGTACCTCCCCATAGGAAACTTGCAAAGGCCAGACCACAGGGTCAGAAAGACAAACAGGACCCTCCCCATTCTGCCATAAAACAAAACTGCACCTCACCTCCTCTGAAAGAGAAAAGTTGAGCAGGTGACACTACCTCCAACACATCCACCCTCCTAACAAAGGTGAGAAGTTCCAATGCGCAGGGAGAGAGAAGGCTGGTAAAGGACACTTCAGGAGGCCAGGCCCAGAGATGAAGTGAAAGGCAACAGGTTTTAGGTACTAACACCTCCCAGGCCTTCACAATCCTGTAATTACAACCAGCTGCTGAATAGCACCTGGCTCAGCAAACCCTCCTGGGTGAGCAAGGAGGTGGATCCCTAATTGCCCTACCACCTACCTACCTGAGCCCCAACCACTAGGCCGGAACCATCCATGCAGGCCACCTCTGTCACTTGGACACTAGAACCTGAATCAGAGACATGCCTCCTACCTGTCCTCCATCCCCAGTCTAGCTCCCACTAAACTACCTCATTAGCATTTCTAACTTCAACAACCTCCCAACTGGCTTTCTCACGTCACTCTTGTTCTTCCAGGGTTCAAAGCCAGACACTTCTAAATCTGTATGTCTGATCACCCCCAAGACCTCTGTAAACCTTCAGTAGCACTGGGTTGAATTTACTGTGGCTGGCGGGGTCCTGGATTTCCTCACCAGACCTCTCTGCTCCAGCATGTCCTCTCCCACTACTGTTTCTGTAATAAGCCAGAAAGTTCTCTCTCCCCTGAAGAATTCCTTTTGATCAAGGTTTATCCACACCCAGTCTTAGGTCTCAGCTTAAAATGTCCCTTCCCAGGCCCTGCAAAGTGTATTACTACTGCTGGTTATATAATCCCAAATGGCCTGCACTTCAAGTTTGCCCCAATTATTTATATATACTTTTGGTCTATCTTGATTTTTTTTTTTTTTTTTGACAGGCAGAGTGGACAGTGAGAGAGAGAGAGAGAGAGAAAGGTCTTCCTTTTGCCGCTGGTTCACCCTCCAATGGCCGCCGCCGCCAGCACGCTGTGACCGGCGCACCGCGCTGATCCGATGGCAAGAGCCAGGTACTTCTCCTGGTCTCCCATGGGGTGCAGGGCCCAAGCACTTGGGCCATCCTCCACTGCACTCCCTGGCCACAGCAGAGAGCTGGCCTGGAAGAGGGGCAACCAGGACTAGAACCCGGTGTGCCGGCGCCGCAAGGTAGAGGATTAGCCTAGTGCGCCGCGGCGCCGGCCGGTCTATCTTGTTAAAACTAAGATCCCAGAAGACAGGACCCATGCTTGTGTAGTTTGCCAACGTAACACCTGTTCCTGAACATAGTGGTATTTCAATATGAGCTGGGTCACTCACTCACTCACATCCATCTTTGGGAAGAGAAGACAATCTCTCAATGAGAACTGCTCCAACCCCAAAGGCTACCTAACTTGCCTTACAGCTAAAACCTGGATCCCTCCCTGCTTCTCTCCAGGACACCTGGCAGCACATCCCCAAAAATGTAGTCTCTGGAAAAACGAGGGAAAAGGGTTGGGCTTCTTCCAAATTCATGCCCTAGTAGCCATCCTGCCCAGGACAAGGGCCTGGGTCGATCTGCCACACCTTACCTTACAACACAGCCACTCACCCAACTCCCAGCTGGAAACATCAAAATGCTGACAAGAACTCAACTTAACATAGGAACAGTTCAGACTAACTCCTTCCCACTTCCACCCTGAGTGAGAAGGGGACAGTATTACTTAAATACAAAGAACTGAAGACCAAGAAAGATCAGACAGAATTCTCCCTCATCCAGCAAGTATCAAACTAATATTAAATAGTTCTCAAAGCACCTCTAACTTTTCCCATCTCCAACATACATTGCAAAGAGCCTTAAATTCTGGGCATCGGTTTCCAGGAGCAGGCTTACTGATTTAAGTGCCTCCCCAAAAGAAACGCGGGATAAGTGAGAAAGGGGACAGGAGTCCCCTCCCCCTTACTTCACCGTGTCCCAGGTATACGATGACACCTTCCACGTCCCTTCAATCACGAACAAGGCAGTACTGCAGGTAACCAAAGCGCCACTGCCCGTGACTCACAAGCCATCCCAAGCCGGTCAGACAGAAGCCGCCAGAAGCTCGCTCCTCCACGGATCTTAAAGGCTCAGCCTCTGCCCTCCCCATCACAGAGAACAGACTCTCCAAACCTCTGGGAAGCCCTCCCCATCAGCTGTCTAGAGGGGCTGAGCACCCAAGCAGGAGGGAAGAAACTCCAAGACTTCGGGCAAAGTTCAGAGTAGCAGCCCCTACCTTCCTTCCCGGCTAGGCGGCCCCAGCCCGGGCCGGAGATGGCGGGACCGGCTGAGACACACCCAGTTCCCGGCAGTGCGGCTCCAGGGCCGATACGAGATGCCCGACAGCCTGGGACGGGAGCCACGTGGACATCCCTTCCCCGCCCCCACGTGGACCCGCGCCCCGCGCCCCCCCTCACCAAGAGCCCAACCCACGTGGGTGCTCCAGCCGCGTGTAGGGGGAGGGGAGACAGACAAGTTCTCCCGGGAAAATCGCTCCCCCCACCCCACGTGGCTCCGAAAAGGGAACTGCGGCGCCAAGCTAAGGGAGCCCCATTCGGCATCCTCGGGGCGGGGGGTTAGCCTGCGACTCTACTTCCGAACCCTTAACACTCGCACCGCGGGCCCCTCTTCCCTGCAGCCGGCTCAACCACTCTGCTGTTCCCCAGGAATGGGCACAGGGACTCCGCCTTTGCCGGCGTACGGGGCCAGCAAACGACTAAGGTTTACTCGACCGGCCTGACTCCTGCGGCCACCGGCATCGAGTCCCAAGCGCTTCCTCCCTTTCCTGTGGCGTCCACGTGTCACCGCCCGGCACACGCCGCTTTGCTGCCAGCCGCGGGCCGCCTGCCAGCCACTCACCTGCTCCCCGCCGCTCATAGCGCCCACGGTCCCGTACGGCGCTTGGCTCCGACTGCCCCAACCGCTACTGCGGACTCCACCGCCGGGGTCCGGGCCAGGGCCCCCAGTCGGGGGCGGCGCGACTCCGTCTCTGCGTCCCCGGCGCGCCGCCATCTTGGCCCCTGAACACCCAGCGCTGCTCTGATCGCCGGCGCCGCCTCGCCCAGCCGATTGTGGGAGGCGAACTACAACTCCCGAATGACCCTGCAAGACTACGGACCCCAGAAGGCTGTGCGACGAGACCCTCTAGCACCTGGGAAGAGACCCTGGTCTCGCGCGAGGTTTCCTGGGAGTAGTAGTCGCTTTAAGCCCAGGCCGAGCGGTACGCTCTCTAGTGGTGCTGTGGTGCCCAGTCGTGGGTTACCCGGCGAGACTGACTAGGGGAGCTTGCAGGAACGAGGAGAGAGTTGACGTTGGCGTATCATTTCATTTTCGCTAATTTGTCCAGCTGTTGGAAGGGCTTCTGTCACGTTCTACCTGCTGTACATTCCTTTCGCCTTAGTCCAAGTGGGCCTCTGTTTGAAAACAGCACCCCCTAGTGTATACCCACACTCGAGGCGCTAAACCTCACCTAATCCCAGACTGCAGCACTACCGCGAATTTCATCTCAAAACACCTCGATCTCTGGTCTCAGGTGCTGCTCAGAAGCCTACGTTGGCTTTTCATTACCAAACTTGTTTCCTGCTGCTCCATGTATCTTTCTGTCTTCCAAAGATTCGTGTTCTGCTCTGTATTTCTGCCTGGAATATTTGAACCTCCGAATATGCTTCATATCCTGTTTAATCTAGGACCGCCTTTTTGACCCCGTTCTGTATTTCAGCAGTCCATCACTGCCTCTACTGTGCTCTTATTTGCCATTAGAATCTACATCATGTTGTTTTTTATTTTTGAAAAACTTTACTACAACTGCTTAAAAATTATTTAAAATAGTACAGAAGTGTATAGAGGGGAAAAAAATCTTGCAAATTCCAGTTCTACTTCCCAGATTCAACCTTTGTTGCCTTTAGTGGGTATTCATCCACACTTTTTTTTTCTGTGAATATAAAAATGTAGAGAGACAAACTGGTCTTTTCTTTGTTCAAAAATGGGATCATACAATATATATGGTGCTACAACATGCTATTCTCATATAACAATATGTTAACCCATTCACTAGCCAAATATTTTCTGAGCTGTTAGCAGTTCCATTTTATGAATATATCACTATTTAGATAGGTAAGTTGTTTCTGCTTTTTCACTATCACATGTTAATTCATGGTGGACATCTTTGTACATGTTGTATACATGTATCTGCACATTTGTGCAGTCTTTCAACAATTTTGTGGAAATTTGCTTGATGAGTTAAAAGATGTATGCATTGGAAATTCAATGAGTAATGCCAGTTGCCCTTTTGGAAGGGTACCCTGACATGGATAGCCACTAAAAACTCATAAGAGGAAAGGACTTCTCTTTCAGTTGTTGCTTAATGTTTCAGGTAAATCAGTGTAGTCTTTACAAGTAGTAGGCTTTGGAAGGCATAAATATGGAAAAAATCATATTCACAATTTTCTTCATAATTACATGAGGGCCAACAATAGAGTTTATTTCCAACAAACTTGAAAATAAAATTGCCTATGGGGGAAGGGTTGTTTGGTGCCACTTGGGATGCTGGCATCTCACCTCAGAATGCTTGGTTCAGGGCCGGCGCTGTGGTGTAGCAGGTAAAGCTGCCACTTGAAGTACCAGCATCCCATAAGGGTGCAGGTTTCAGACCCCAGCTGCTCCACTTCCAATCCAGCTCTCTGCTACGGCCTGGGAAAGCAGTAACAAGATGGCCCAAGTTCTTGGGTCCCTGCACCCACATGGGAGACCAGGAAGAAGCTCCTGGCTCGGGCACAGCTCTGGGCATTGCAGCCATCCGGGAAGTGAACCAGCAGATGGAAGACCTCTCTTACTCTCTCTGCCTCTCCTTCTCTCTGTGTGTAATTCTGACTTTCAAATAAATAAATCCTTTTTCTTTCTTTCTTTTTTTTTTTTTTTAAACAAGCAGAGTGGACAGTGGGAGAGAGAGGGAGACAGAGAGAAAGGTCTTCCTTTACCGTTGGTTCACCCTCTAATGGCCGGTGCACTGCACTGATCCGAAGCCAGGAGCCAGGTGCTTCTCCTGGTCTCCCAAGCAGGTGCAGGGCCCAAGCACTTGGGCCATCCTCCACTGCACTCGCAGGCCACAGCAGAGAGCTGGACTGGAAGAGGAGCAACCGGGACAGAATCTGGCGCCCCGACCAGGACTAGAACCTGGTGTGCTGGCGCCGCAGGCGGATGATTAGCCTATTGAGCCGCGGCACCCGCTTAAATAAATAAATCTTAAAAAAAAAAAAAAAAGCAAGCAAGCAAGCAAGCTTGAGTCAAGTCCCAGCTAATCCACTTCTGATCCAGCTTCCTGCTAGTGCACACTCTGAGAGGCAGCAGCTGATGGTTGAAGTCCTTGGGTCCCTGTCACTGAAACATCCTTTTAAGTATACTATTTTTAGCCCCAGACAACCCACATTTGAGAAATGGTTTCTGATCCTCAGCTTGCTGTCACATCTTTGAATCCTTGCAACATCTAGAATTAAAAAGTTCTAACTGGCCGGCGCCGCGGCTCACTAGGCTAATCCTCCGCCTAGCGGCACCGGCACACCGGGTTCTAGTCCCGGTCGGGGCACCGGATTCTGTCCTGGTTGCCCCTCTTCCAGGCCAGCTCTCTGCTGTGGCCAGGGAGTGCAGTGGAGGATGGCCCAGGTGCTTGGGCCCTGCACCCCATGGGAGACCAGGAAAAGCACCTGGCTCCTGGCTCCTGCCATCGGATCAGCGCGGTGCGCCGGCCGCAGCGGCCATTGGAGGGTGAACCAACGGCAAAGGAAGACCTTTCTCTCTGTCTCTCTCTCTCACTGTCCACTCTGCCTGTCAAAAAAAAAAAAAAAAAAACAAAAAAAAACAACTAACTGCTAAAATTGCTTTCCTTGGTCTCCTTAAGAAGAAATTGAGGCTACAGGGTTAAACCATTTGCTCAGGGGCCCATGTGGTGATTTTTTAGGTTAAGCCATCACCAGTGACAGCAGCATCCCATATCAGAGTGCTGATTCCCGTCCCAGCTGCTCTGCTCCCCATCCAGCTTCCTGCTAATTATCTGGGAAACCAGTGGAATATGGCCCAACTCCTTGGGCCCCTGAAACCACATGGGGAGACTCAAATGCAGCTCTGGCTTCTGCCCAGCCCAACCCTGGCTATTGAGGCCATTTAGAGAGTGAGCCACAGATGGAAGATTCTCTCTCTCTCTCTCTCTCTCTCTCTCTCTCTAATTCTGCCTTTCAAGTAAATAATCTTTTTTTAAATCCTCAGATTTTTCTCTAGAAATACAATTTAGTCCATCTGACAGTGGGACTTTCTAAATGTTTTACAGTTTTCCTGGGAGTTTCTTATATACTTTGAGAAACCGAATTGGCAGGCCGGCACCACAGCTCAATAGGCTAATCCTTTGCCTGCGGTGCTGGCACACCGGGTTCTAGTCCCAGTTGGGGCGGCGGATTCTGTCCTGGTTGCCCCTCTTCCAGGCCAGCTCTCTACTATGGCCCTGGAGTACAGTGGAGCATGGCCTGGGTCCTTGGGCCCTGCACCCGCATGAGAGACCAGGAGAAGCACCTGGCTCCTGGCTTCAGATCAGCGTGGTGCACTGGCTGCAGCGCGCCGGCTGCAGCGCCCATTGGGGTGTGAACAACGGAAAAAGGAAGACCTTTCTCTCTGTCTCTCTCTCTCACTGTCCACTCTGCCTGTCCCCCCCCCCCCAAAAAAAAAAAAGAGAGAGAAACCAAATTGGCAGAGAAAGCAATGGTGGTGCTAAAAAGTGATGATGGTAGCAAATAGACAAGAGTCATGTGGGGGGCATGGAAACATAAATTCCACCAAATAAAATTCTTGTAATCTGGGGCGGATGTTGTAGCACAGTGAGTTAAGCTGTTGCTTGGGACATCTGCATCGGAGTGCCTGGGATCAAGGTCCACTTCCCCTTCCAATCCAGCCTTCTGGTAGAGCACACCCCCAGGAGTCAGCAATGATGGCTCTCAAGTACTTGGGTTCCTGCCACCTATATAACAGACCCAGATGGAGTTCCAGGCTCCTGGCTATGGCTTGGCCCATCCCTGGCTGTTGCAAACATTTGAAGAGTGAAGCAACAGATGGAAGATCTCTCTCACTCGCTCACTCGTTCTGCTTCAAAGAAATATACTTTTAAAAATACTCTTGTAAGGTGCTGGTGCTGTGGCACAATGGGTTGAGCCACCACTTGCAGTGCCAACATCCCATATGGGCTTCAGTTTGGGTCCCAGCTGTTCCACTTCCTATCTGGCTCCCTGCTAATGTGCCTGGGAAAGCAATGGAAGATGGCCCAAGTGCTTGGGCCCCTGCCACCCAAATGGGAGACCTGGAAGAAGCTCCGGGCTCCTGGCTTCAGCCTGGCTCAGCCCTGGCTGTTGCAGCCATCTGAAGAGCAGATGAAAGATCTTTAAAAGAAAAAAAGAAACAGCAATGCTACTAAGTGTTTAAGGAAATTTTAAGGGTGTGAGCAATTGAGCAATGTGGGGAGAAGATATAGAACACAAAGGCCAGGAGAGGAAATTAGATGGGAGAGATCCAGGAAGCTTCTGTGGGCTTTTGCTTTTTTTTTTTTTTTTTTTTTAAACAACATAGCCAGCCAGAGAGCTTTCCAACTCACTAGTTCACACCCCAAATGGCTGCAATAACCAGAGGTGGACCAGGCCAAAGCCAGGACCTAGGAAATTAATTTGGGTCTATCCCATGAGTAGCAGGGACCCAACCACTGGAGCCATCATCTGTAGCCTCCCAGCTGGAATTGGACTGGAGCTGGGACTTGTATCCCTGACACTCTGGGGTCGGGATGAAAGCATCACGGGTACAAGCGTCACCACTAGGCCAAATGCGTAACTCTGCTATCTGTTTGTTATTGTTTCTTTGTTTTGTTCTTAAAGATTTATTTATTTATTTGAAAGGCAGAGTTACACAGAGCGAAGGAGAGATAAAGACAAATCTTCCATCCGCTGGTTCACTCCACAATTGGCTGCAACGGCCGGAGCTGTGTCAATCCAAAGCCAGGAGCCAGGGTCTCCCATGCTGGTGCAGGAGCCTCTTCCAGGTCTCCTACGCAGGTGCAGGGGCCAAAGGACTTGTTCTGCTTTTTCAGGCCATAGCAGAGAGCTGGATCAGAAGTGCAGCAGCTGAGACTCCAACCATATGGGATGCTGACACTGCAGGCAGTGGCTTTTACCCACTATGTCACAGAACCAGCCTGTTTTGTTTTTTAAGAAGATCTTCTTGGGGCCGGTGCTGTGGTGCAGCGGGTTAATGCCCTGGCCTGGAGCGCCAGCATCCCATATGGGCGCTGGTTCCAGTCCCGGCTGCTCCTCTTCC